ATGATGCTATGGTGTGTGCGCTAGGCAAATAGCCCTAGACAAAGCGAGTGGCGCACCCATTTCTGACCTCAACACGTGCAATTGGGATCGTGGCTCTTCAATGCTGTGGGCGATCATTAGGATGAAGACCTCGGTGTCACAACATCTACAAAATCAAGAATTAGTTGCATTTCACTATCAATGGCGCTCATGCTCCTCTGTTGAAGTCTTAGAGAGCCCATGCAGCAGGTCAGCTACCGGGACCACCAGCCCGCGATAGCAGGCAGTGCCCAGAGCTCGCGCCTTCCGTCGCACAGGTGGCACCTGAAAACAAGGGGCCAGGTGAACAAGTAGGGTTCCGCTCTATGCAGGCATTTGTTTGTAGGATAAAGTGCAGTGCTCATTGGATCGGCGTAACAACTTGCGGGGAGGGTGCGTGAATAAAGGAAGGAGCAAACACTGCTATGCTTTGAGGAGCCACATGGGGTCAAAGCTGTACTTTGGAATGTTCGAAGCGCTCGATGGACTGGATTGCTGGTTATTGTCAGCAGCTGCAAATGCACTTAGGCAAGATGAGCCACATTGATAGCAAGAAAGGTTCCGGATTTTGCACGTCGGAATCGATAGATAAGGCCAGCTACGGCTTTCGTGAAACGTCAGAAGGTCTGACAACCCAATTGATTGGATGCTGGATCGTTCTCCTGTCAGCCCTCTTTCCAAATCACTGCAAATTTGTGACTCTGAGATGACTTAGTGTTGCGAGTTGCTAGACCTGGTTGCAGAGTCTTCTTTCCTGAAAAATCTTGAGGAGCCGCTTATCTGAAGTGAACAACGTGGAAAAAAGTCGTAGCCCAGGGGCTGCAATTATGCTTTGCCAGCATACCCCAACATGTTTATATGCCCGCTGAGATTTTGAGTTCCTCCCCCTCTCTGCGTTAGGCCCCCCTCATCGTAGGGGTCCCAAAGCAAGTGGACAAGATGACTTTGGTGTTGGACGGAGGGGGTATGTTTCAGACGAGGGGAGGTGAGAATCCTCAGATGCGTTGCCAGGGATCCATACCTGGATGGCCCACCGCTTTCGCAGCACGGAAGCCAAGTCAAGTGGATGTACTTGAGATCGCGTGCTTCCACGTGCTTCTTGTGTTTACGTCTTAAGCGTCTCGTGCTCTTGCTGAGGCCACGCACGTAGGTTGGCATGCAAGCTTCTCGCGGCCATTTGAAGGTTGCGATAAAGTTCCTAGGTGTGCCTGCCCATGGCGTATTTTCAGACCCTATAAGCTGCATGCTTCAGCATGAGACCTGCCAGCGCACGCCGCCAGGTCATTCTTGGCATTGGAGTGTCCAATTACTCATGGGACCCGCTTCCAAATGCCAACAGCGACGTGCAGAGTGTGTGTGACAGCTTTCAAAGTCGCGGTTATCATCCTGAGGTCTTGCTAGATGTCCCCACAGTCGAGGAAATGGACAAATTCCTCGAGCGGGTACAACGCGAAGCAGTTCACGAGGGTACTGAGGTTCTCTGCGGGTACTTGGCAGTCCATGCGGTTGAAACCACGGAAGGGCTTGTACGGTTGCTGTGCAAGTACAGCACCAGTGAGAAGGACATGCACAACGATCGAGGATTTTTCTTGGATGATCTGTGTGATAAGCTTCTGCGCTTTCCTGTTTCAGAAACTGCTGACATCTATTTGTTCCTCGATTGCTGCCGCAACAGATTGAGTATCTCCTCTATGCACAAGAGCGGACATCTCAAGCTCAAACAGCGGCAACACCTTTCTCGCGGGGTTCAAATTATGTTTTCATGCGCTTCAAACCAACCTGCCTGGGATGGGGAAGGCCAGCACAGTCCATTTGCAACCAACTTGATCCGCCTGGTCAACGAAGGTGTTGACTGGTCATTTCAAGCTTTGTACAATGAGTTACAGCCGGCTGTTTCGTCGCACACCCGGAGCAGCACAAGGGGACTGATCGCTCAGCAGATCACCTTGACGCAAAGCACTAGAGCCTCACACACGCTCTTCTCCTGTGACCAGCCAAGCCAAAACTTAGCACAGCTGGTTGGGGTTCCAGCCGCTAATGAAAGCTTCACAGGAAGAGCGGAGGAACTGGATAAGGTTGAAGCCACGTTTGAAAATCAATGCAGCATGTGCGCTATTGTGCAGACACGGGCCATAACTGGATTGGGCGGTATAGGCAAGACGCAGCTTGCCAAAGCTTTCGTGTACCAGCACCGAAAGGAGTATGATGTTGTCCTTGGGTTGATGCTGAAAGGGATTTGGCAACGAGCTTCAGGAGTTGCGCTGCGCTACTGGTGGAAGCCGGTCCTGAGCTGACGCCTGACCAGGTCAAAGTCAAGCTGGACGATAGGCTACGGCATTGCAGGAAATGGCTCATTGTTTTCGACAACGTTGAGAGCGCCAATGACATTGAGCCGTATCGTCCAACAGGTGCTGGGCATGTGCTCATTACATCACGGTATCAACTTTGGGACAGAAGCAGTACGGTGGAGCTTGGGCGGCTGGCTCGGGTCGATGCTGTCGCTCTTCTTTACAAGAAGATGGTTTCTGCCGAAGAGGCTGCTTTGCGTGACGCCCAGGTGCATGCCAAGGCTTTGACGAGATGGCATGGTGAAGATGTTGCCGAGCGCTCACGGGATCCACCTCATGTGCCAGAAGAAATACATAGGTGCTGGGACCTTGCAGAGCTCCTTGATGACTTTCCACTGGCACTTGTACAAGCAAGCGCAGCCATCCGATTTTTCGGCTTCACGATTTCGGGATACTGTGAAATGTACCGGACCACCTACAGCGATTTGCAGCATGAGGAAGAGGACCTGCGCTTAAGCGGTCATGCAGATGGATACGGTCGCTCTGTGCATGCAACTCTCAAGATCATCTTGTCTGCGCTCTCCAACCGTGACAAGGACAATCATTCTGAGAGGGCACCCTGGCAGCATGTATTTGATGCGTTTGTGGCAGCTGGGTCAAATCAACTATTTGCGAGATTAGTGATTGAGTGCAGCTTGAGGGAGACTTGTGACTTGTTCTGACTTGTTAGCTTAGCTTATGCCGACCTGCTTGGCCTGTCTCCCTTGGTCCTCAGTCCACGCAAATTTGCTGCAGTTTTGGATTCGCCGAACAAGCTGCAAGGCACTAGGTTGCGGCCTCAAATTCAAAGCAAAGGGTAATGGAAATCCTTTTCTTCAGCCATCATATCTATGTACCATAAGTGATTACTGAAACTGAAGAGAGAATCCCTGGGTACAGGAGCTGGCCCGAACGCAAATCCTGGATCTCCGGCTAACAGGGTTTCAACTGGATCAATGCTTGTGCTGTACCCGAGTTCAGAGTGGGGGGCAAGTGTGTGTTCCAAATAAAGCTTGGAATTGACGTGCTAAGGAACATGACCTACCCACTTAAAGCTTGAAAAACACTGGCTAGACTCCGGCCGCACCATACAAGCTGTCGTGCTTGATGCACGCAGATTTGGGTCCAAGCTGCAACCGATCCTGGGGTTGCAGCTGTGAATCCAGCTCTGGGAAACATTCCAGCAAGATGTTATCAAGAATCATGAGCTCGCAGAGCTTGAAAACTAAGATCCAAGCAAGGTCTTGCTTGCCGTGGCCCTCCTGGATGCAGCCGTCATCCCACTTGAGCTGCTTACAACGTTGATTGACGAAGTTTGCCCGCAACTGAGCAAACTCAAGAAGGGACGAGTTCTTGGCAATTTGTGGGAATGTTCCTTGATCTCGCGCCTCAGCGAGTCTTGCGAGGATGCCCGCAATGTGGGTTCATCTGCCACTGTACTTGTCAGAGGTGTTGTTTGAGACAGACCCGCAACTCCTTGGGAGGATGTCCGCCAGCCGCGAATGGACACATCCATCTGGCAAAAGGACACGCTTGCCACATGCACTCCAATCAAGGAAGCAACTACAAGTGTAGTTCAGAAAAGTTATAGAGTGCAGCCCTCTCCATAGCATATGGCCGTGGCTGCGCACGCGAGAAAGCCATGTGTATGCAGGACTACACTGTCCACCGAGTTGTGCAACAGTTCATGCTCTCTCGCATGAACTCTGACACTTTGCACAAGGCGGGCTCATGTGTACAAATGCAGCCCTCTTCCTTCATAGTGTCTGAGGGCAAGTCCCACAACAAACTATATGGTACTGCGCTTAGAGCATAACATGCTTCACGCATCGGTTTGTTGGCCCCGTAGCAGTCTTGCCTGCCTCTTCCAGACGATAAGTGCTTGCAAAGAAATCATCCGTGGCGCGAGAAGACCATGCAACACTCCGGTGCAGGAGCTCAGTACATCAAACAAAGCCGTGACAAGCGGTCTATTCTCATGAGGGCAGGGGACACGGGACCGGTGCAGGCGCCCTAGGCACGCGCTGAGCTCAGGGCCAACATGAGACATGTGCACTTGTGCATCACTCCTGTTGAGGACGATCGTAGTGAGCACGTTCCATGGATCATGCTCACGCGTTAAGAACCGCTCACTCATTCCACCATCCATACCATCCTTGATTCCATTGCATTCGACTCGCAGGCTGGGTGAGTGGGTGGCTGGCTGGCTGGGTGTGGGTGGGAAACCAATGCGGATTACGCGTATTGCGGATTACGCGTCTTTTTCGCATTTGCTCGTGCCTACGTTTCTCTAGGTGGGTCATGGGTGTCAGTCCTGATGAAGCTTTACCTCTTCCTTCTGCTTTCTGCAGCCTCTCACCATTTCTGGTGGACATGCAATGCTATGATGAATGCAGATCGAGGTGTGCCCCGCTTCCAGAAAGAAAGGTATTTGCCATGTGCGCATTGGTGTCTTGCAACATGTTACCATGGCGATCTGTTTGCATTTCAGGGTTCTCACGCCATGAGGGAGTTTGAGCACAAACTATACATCCTAAACAAGATCATCTCATGTTTTTTATAGACAGCATCCAAAATATGTTGCGCGGAGCGCGCTGAAGTGATGCTCTGAAGCAAGCGCACCCCTTTTTGTTGCAATTGCCCTCAAAACAGGCAATGGGTCGAGTTGCTGCCGCGCTGAGCAAGCTCCTGAAGACCAGCCTGCACGAGTCATTGGAGACTGTGAGGAGGAACCGGCTCCTGTTGCCACATGTGCGGGCGCTCACATCGCGTGAAGAAGTTCGAAACCTTGCGAGCAGCGAGCCGGTCATGTTGGGGACCCTGCTGCGCTGCGCAGCAGACTTTTATGTTCATGAGCAGCGTGACCAGGCTAACGCTAAGCATTTCTTGGACCTGGCAGATACCGTCTTGGAACTGCCTCAAGACAGGGCGGAAATGTCAGATGCCGTCCTTGAGCTTGTAGTAAGGCTCAAAGGACTGCGCTGCGTCTTCCATGAGAATCTTCAGAATGACTTATTGCAGGCTGAGCGGTACCTAGCTCTTGCACAGGAGATGTGCCCGAGGGAGTGGCTTCTGCAAGCTGATTTGCTCCACTTGGCTGGTAACCTGGAGATGAGACGAGGGCGACTACAGGAAGCTCGCAACTGCATGACAGCAGGCCTCAACATGAAGCAGAAACACGACAAGCACTTCAACCAAGCGTCTTTGGCATACTCTAAACATGGTCTGGGTAACGTGCTTGCAATGCTCGGTGAGAGAGACCTAGCAGACCTCAACTACCAGGATGCTATTGCTGGGAAGGTTAGCTGCTACGGGAAGGAGGACCATTTGGATGTAGCAAGGAGTCAGCTGCGATGTGTTCAAAACCTCCTCCAGGAAAAGATCTCAGGAGACCAGCGCTTGGCAGCCTCACAAATGATGGCCAACATTGTCAGGGTCTTTGAGAGAGATTTGGACGAGGATCAATATGAGATGAAAAATGCAAAGTCACTTCAGTGCAGCAAGGAGATGCACGGCTTTGTGGCAAGCCCAGCCCCGACTCCGCCCAGAACAAGCTTCTTGCTCTTGGCTCCTTTCATCCATCCCCGCCCTCTTGGCGGTCCAGAAGAGCGCTTTTATGGGAAGAGATCCAGCATACCACCAGACATGCTCGCCTTCATGAAAGCTTTTGAACCTGCTACACAGTTTCGAGAGGATTTCCAAGCACAGTTTTCGGCAAGCTTCAAGCATCAGGCTGACCAGTTTGCAAAGGACGGATTGTTGATTCTGCCTCTTACTTTGGAGCAAGTTTGCAACATTGGCGGAGCTGGTATGACCAGACCATGGCGCAAGCTGGCTCCCTTCAGCCCGTCTTGCACATGAGGACTTTCACAGCAACATCTCATGCTGGCGTGAAGCTGAGCAGTTCGGTGCAGGCATCTGTCGCCGATCCATACTTGCTGGCATTGTTGAAGTCTGTGGCCGGCGGCAACATTCAACTCTCACACTTCCGGGCTGCCACCACATACCCTGGCGAGGATGTTCTGTTTCGTGCCTGGAAGTGGCACCGGGACGGCGGCAAGGAGCCCGAGTGGAAGTTGATGGTCCTTTTGGATGATGTTGCGCCTGGAGGCAATGAGATGCATTATCTCAAAGGTTCAATGCGCCCCTGGAAGGGCTCCCGTCAAAAAGATGCAAACTTCTCAATGGAGGATGCGCTTCACATCGCCTCTGGTAGCTCGCAGGGCTTGCCTGCCATCACCCGCTGCTTCGGCCGTGCTGGAACAGTCATCTTGTTTGCAGGCCAGGGCCTGCACCGGGCTACACACTCAATTGTTGCTCAACGTCGAGTTGTCACGTTTCGGTTCAAGCGCAAGATTCCGGATTTGGCTCGGATCTACCCCATGGATGTGGTACAGCCGAAGCGATTGAGTGGCTGTGGCACACTGGCAAGATCAATTTTGACTCGTTCGGGAGAGCCTGATCAGTGACTCGGAGCATTCGTTCATGGATTGTACGAAGGTTGTCAGGTGTAGAACAATGACGCAAACACCAAAGATATCGCAAGTTTAGCTGTGTAGCAACAATTCCTAACAATTATGCACGTGCGTGGGTCGTTGTACAAGCAGATGAACACGTACTGGCCTGGTCTGATGTCGTGAGATCTTGTTCTAAGCAGACTTCAAATTGTAAAGGCCTGAAGCACGGTTTATCCTGTCAAGTGTCTCATGCGCTGCAAGCAAGGCTGCGGGTTACCAACGAGGAGCGCGAGTGGATTGACCAAAGATCTGCCCAGATTCGGGCCGTTCAATCTGAGCAAGACACCACGCCGCAAGAGACACAGAGTCTGCTTGCAGACTACAGGGAGATGAAGACACTATCAGACTTGAAGCCAAGAGTCTGCAAACCAGAGCTTGCGGAGCTCCACAAGCAACTCCTTGACATTTTCACGGTGGACATGAACTACGACCTGGACCTGCCCGTTCGCCAGAATAATTTGGACGTTGGCAGGGACTTGCTACGAGTGAGCTTCAGATACTACTACCAGAGCAGCGACCAGCTTCAGGATCTCGTCCTCAACTTTCGCGCCTGGACAGTAGCAGGACAATATGAGATGGCTTGCTATGACACTCTCAGAACTCTCGCGGACCGACTTCATCTCTGGTTGGCTGAATTTGGCTCGCAGCCAGCTCAGTTGAAGCAGCAAGCTGAAGCCTGCAGGAGACTGACAATAGATGTAGGGCAGGCCATGGAACATCTGGATGATATCCAGGATTTTCGAACAGTGTTGTGCTTCCTTTACCTCCTGCATGATCATGCCAGAAGGATCTTCCCTGGCAGCCCTGATTGGATTGCCGTTGGCCAACGTGTGCTTTTGTCAACCTACTGTTGTGTCGTGTTGCTCGATGATTTAGCACATGCAGAGGTATCTCAAAAGGCGTCGTTTGTTGACGGGATTGCTGCCTGCACGAGGCAGTATCTCTTCCGGGCACGTACCAGGCGAACCAAGCCAAAGCCCTGCTCGAAGTTTAATCGCCAGATCCAAATTGCAGCTGCCGGAGGCAGCTGACGTGTTCGCAAGGAGCACGATCCACATGCCCTGCCTGGCACAAGCCTAGACAGGCAGCGTACAGTGCTCAGCCGTTCCATAGTTCCCTGTACAGTGCGCTTACGTGAACTATGCCATCAAGGCGCAAGCAGGTGTTTCTCACATTTCAAGCCAGAAGGAGCTTCAAGGTCGATGGCCGTGCGAAGCGTAAACAGACCTGGGTGGAATCTTGAGATGCTCGTTTTCCTGTTTGCGCATCGCTCAGAAGACAAAGGTTGCGCGGAACTGCGAGCAAGGAGGACCAGCGGCAAATCCAGGCACGGGGCCAAGACCAGGCTTCCCGATGCTCAACTTTGGCCCCCTGCAATGGAGCTGTATGGCACTGCAGCGCTGCAGGTGCTCAATGCGTTATACTAACATGTAGGAGATGATAGGAAATATAGGTTCTTGATGCTGCAAATCTCAGGATGCTGCCATGCGTACGGGGGACGCGTACTGAGCCCAGTTGCCAGAGGGCTGCCCCGTTTCCGGTGGACACCTTGCAACGTCAAATCTCAGAGACAAGGGCTAGGGTGTGTTTCCACATGTGGGCAACAGATCAGAGCCAGTAGAAGGCTCATAAGGGCCCATCCGAAGACAGATCTTGTGAAAGGCCAAGCCACATGTCTCTCGCTATGATTGTGCTGGGACAAATTGGGCAATGCCATGAATGTTATGCCCTTCTTAGCTGCCTGCTGAGGGCTGTAAAGCCACGCAAGCTTGAAAGAGGTCTTCTGCAACACTGCATGGGAAGGCTGTTGAGCCTTTGGTAACCATGTGCATCCATGTCTGAAGCCAAATCAGCCAGATCAGAATCACAAAGCTAGCCTCCATGCCCGCCGAGGCCCGGCGCCGGTCCTGTAATGCCAGCACAGGGGCTCGAGGAGCTGTCAGCCGTGACATACTGCTCCTACTCTTACTACTAGACGACTGCCAGTATTTTCAAGGTGCCGATTCCAAGGCTATCTGTAGCAGAACTCAACAGCAGCAGCAGGAGTAGTAGGAGAAGGAGGAGGTAGCCGCAGTAGCAGAAGATATTAGTGGGTGGTTGGCAACTGTAGTCATCACATTCGGAGTCATCAACTTCACCTCCTCTGTTACAACCGATCTCGCTTGTGGGCGCTTGAACTTCCGCAATCATTTTAGTTGCGGTAGCGGAAGCTTCAGCAACGATGACAGTACTGGAGCTTTGCAGGGTTGACGGGATATAACAGGATAAGGATCTTATGTGTAATTAGTGTGTGCATGCAGGCTGCTTGTGCGGGTAGCTGCAGTTGGTACCCCTAAGGGCCCTAAGCTTTTGCAGTTAACGCTCGGGCGGCCTTGCAAAAAAAAAGGTGGTACAGTCAACGTAAAGGGGCAGGGCACGGCGGTTCTTCGCGTAGGGCAGGGGACCTTCAAAAGGGGCGTACACTCTGCCTCCTGTCAGTAATCTACAGCATTTCCAATCAAAAAGGTGACCCTTCACAGCCTCACAACCCCCTTGAGCTCTGCTATATAGCATGAGGAATCCTGAGTACATCTGCCATGGAAGAGTGTGTTTTGCTCAACACGACCCCTGCATAACTCCTTCAGCGGGCCAGTGTACTTCCTCATGCCCCTTTTGCCATTGTCTCAGGAGATCGATGCTCAGGACAAGGCACAGGTGGGGTGCCCAGTGCGGATGATCATCGTTATAAACATTATGATGTGAACAAATGATGATAGTTGTGGTAAGTGGCAATAGTGGTTGTGCGACTGCAGCAGCAACAAAGGTAGCAGCAACCACGCATTTCAGCACCCATGCACAGAACGTAATTAAAGCTCTCGGAGCTGCCCCCCCGTGACTGTCAACGCCCTGCTCCGGAGCTTGGTCTTTCACTCGCCTCAACATGGGCTGGTTCCCGATGTTGGAATTCGACTACTCAGTGTGAGAAAGCTGGGCGCTCAACGCCAAAGCAACAGGCCGTGCAGCCTCCATGCCTTGTGCTGAGGCAGCTTTCTAGTTGCTCTTTGTCAAAAAGAATAGCCTACATAGTCCCCCGATGGTTCCCATCACTGTTTCAGCAAGCATCCTCAAGACAGCTCTTCTTCTCTCCCCCATCACCATATCATAAGCCCGAACCTCTTTCCCTCAGCGATCATTCCAGCGCACTCCTAGGCAGCCCTGGAAGCCGCACTCTACACGGCGAAGGCCGCGGCTACCTCTATCAACAAAAAGGCTACAGTCTAATGTGGGGTCCTGATTAGTGTAGGGGGCCCCCCAGACAAAATGGGGTCACCAGTTACTACGAGGGACCCCCCAAACGAATCTGGATTCTAGGTTCGAGGTTTAAATCCAATGGGGGGAAGGTTTCCGGAGCTCACAATATGCTTTTGATCAATTTCAAGAGGGGGAGGGTTTCAGGCGGTCAGAATCTGTTTTAAGATTCATTCAATAGGAGGAGAGTGTCTCGAGCTCGGAATCGATTTGAAATTAAATTCAATACTAGTCGTAGGAGTGTGTCCTGAGCTCGGAATGGGTTTCAAAGTAAATTCAACAGGAGGAGCGTTGGGGACCTGACCTGAAACCTGAAATCCTGAAGCTGAAGATCCTTGAGGGAAACATTCTAATTTAACTTTCGCGTGAGAGCAGCTTGATCAGGAAAGCAAAATAGTCTTTAGTTTACCTAATTACTTTCAGATTTCTTTTAAGGCCGCGCAACTTCGCACCATTAAGGGCCCCCAAACGAACCAGGGGGTGCTGCATAACTTCGGCGAAACTTCGCACAACTAAGGCCCCCACACCAATCGGGATCCAACATTAGGGGTTTCAGCTTCCTGTACTAGGCAGCGAGGTTTGGAGTGGATAGGATGCACTGCCAGCGCGTGGAATGACGTATGCAAATTATTTCGCGGTTTGTTATTTTCGTAACAGCAGCTGCAGTATCTGTGCGAGAAAACCCTGAAGTGTAGCAGGACAATGGGCGAGTCAAGATCCTTGTTTCATTTTACATTGTCCTGCATTCCGAGTAGGAGTGCTGTGGTGTTAGATGACTGTCATTCCCCGCACATGAGACTGACCTTTTGAGGTTGGTGGCCTGCCGCCTGGTTGGGAGGAATATGTCTCGGAGGAGCATGGAGGCCCCCAGCAACCCGTTAGTCGCAAAGAATAGCATTTCTGCGCCACTGCAAGAGGTCCAGCTAACAGCGTAAGCAAGAGCGTTTGAGTTGCAGTTCATGATCTCTGTACTTCCTCTCAGATCTCGCCTGCAGGTCGCGTTTACTATGTCTTTTCACAGACTGGGGTGCGGCTGGCTATCTTGTGTGTGTGTGTATGTGTTTCCGGGTGTGTGTCACAGTGCTCAGCTCAGTATCGCCTGACATGACATTGGGTTCAGCATTGCGGATTACGGCACCAGACAGGACACCACCTGGGAGCGGCCGACATTGTTGCCAGATGGCACGGTTCAGTTTTTTCCGAATCAGGACGCTCTGGCTCTGTTGTCCCGTTGTGCGAAGTGACTGCGCTGATCATTGCGGGCACGTCGCCAGTCTCCGGAGCTATTGTTTTCGTTGTGGTGTGCTGCAGGATGTCTCGTCCAAGGCAAGCAGGAGAAGCTTGATTGCATCAGCTTGGACACGTGATGAAAGTGGTGTGAGATGATAGCAATGACAGCACATGATTGCGCCCTGGAAGCTTTGCCCACCTGTGACTAGTCAGGGTGGTGGTATGAAAACGCCCGCCCAAGGTGGTTCCAAGCTGCCCGATCCGCGAGGCTCTGCAACGCTTCTGCATTCTGATGGGGGATCAGCGTGCCAAGCGTATTCAAGCGTGACCCATGGTGTAGCTCTATCGACCGCGTTGCAGGAAAGGGCAAACTTGGCTCCCTTCGGAGTGCCGCAAATGCCGCCAAGACCAAGGATGCCTTGCTCTCAGCTTCCCGGGCAATTGCCTGGTCCTGTAGCTGTTCCGACACCAATGCACAAAACACATCAGGGGTCAGGGCCTCAACTAGCACTCACTAGGACTATTCCCAAATCTGAGTCCTCCAGACCGGATCAGTCCCAAACTTGAAGCTCCCTACTCCCTATGCCCAGCATTCCTAGCTATCCTTCAACGAAATTCAGCAGTTGGCCCCCAATTACCTGCTTTTCTGAGCTCGTGTAAATCTGTGATGCCTTGTGGGGGCTCTATGTGAATGGTCAAACTCCTTCAAGGAGGTTATATAGGAGATTATATAGGGGAGTATTATAGGGTGTATAAAGGAGGGTTCTAGGATTTTCGACTATAGCTCATGTGGCAATTCCTTTTTTGGGGCTGAGGCTGAGGCAGCTGCCATGAGCCCTGCAGGCACCAGGCAGATCCTGGGATGAACGGTACGCAGGGCTTTGCTTCTTGTTCTAGATCATAAAAACCACCCGCCAAACTCAATCCACGATGCGATGAAGGGACCTGCGTTGGCGTGATCCTCTGAGGCCCACACGAGATATGCACAGAAATCGAAGAATCAAGCCAGTGATAGAAGCCGCTATGCAAGTCCTGCCTGCCGGCATTCTGATGCATTTGTGGTCAAGACATGGCAATCGACCTGGAGCTGCTTGTCCACCCGACTGTTCCAGACTAAAGCTTCAGCAAAGGTCCTCGAAGAAGCCTCACCCAAAGCTTGCAAAGAACCTGCCATTCCTGAGCATCACACATTTTGAGTTCTCGGGCCCAATCAAAGGACACATTTCTGGACCGTGTTTTAGGGCGTCTGAACGTTTTCACCAGCGCATTGTCATGCTTTCAGGCCAACAACATTCCTTCGGGTCTGAGAGTGCTGGGCCAAAAGACTCTTGAACCTTTGAAGACTTGTTGCGAATTAATCTATACCATCAAGATTGGCTGGATGCACAGAAACTCCACTGTGATTTTGGGTCCATGGGCCTGTTCGGGCTCTTCTAGTACCAGTCCCCCACTCCACAAATGCTCCATACTTCGACAAGCAGGATGGATGCTGTACATGGAGCTGCAGCACCAGGCGTGAGACCTCTTCTGGGCTCCGCATCCTATACCTTACATTGAGTGAGTGAGGAAGGAGTTATCAAGCCACTTACCGTGGCTGGAAAACGGCTGGGTGGGGAGTGATTTCGCATGCAGAAACAGACAACATCACTTTCTGACGCACATCTGAAAAGTCAAGGCCATTTTCCTTGAAGGGACTCTCAAATCTGTGCAGGGTATCTGGGTTCGGCACGTTGAGACATGACTTGTGTTATAGGGCTGAAGTGTCTGGCATTGCAGACTAGATGCAAGACCTTTTGCTTCCAACCTGCAAGGTGATGACGACAGAACGCCCGTGGAGCGAGAACGCGAGGCCGGAGGCTTTGCAGAGTCGAGTCCACCAACCAGAAACTTGCACAGCCAAGCAAAAGCTCATGTTACCAGCTGCCGAGGGCGAGGAGGTCAACGCTGGCAGAAGTCGACACTAGCAGCAAAACTCAAGTAAGCGGGGCAAAATGTAGGCGACAGTGATGGAATACTCTCTGAGTGCTGGCATCTCAACAGCGAACCAGCGGACATGTTCCTCATCGTTCGGAGCTGGACTATCCTGCAGAATTGAACTGAAGATTCAGTTAGGAGCCGTGACTGGAAGAAACAGAGTCTGCTGTTCAAGGAGCCAGTGTACACGCCTTGCAAAGGTGCCACCCTTCAGGCGGCTGCCGCTTCAGCGGGAGGCACTCCGAAAGCAATATCCAGATTGAGCGCGAACATTACTGGCTTAATCTAAGTAAGTCACAGAGCCTTGCCAAGCTTGGGGGATCTTGGGGGTACACGAGGCTTTTTCTTCGAGCGCTTCACATGCTTGGCATGGTTGTTTCTTTTGTGCAGTATGCTTCCTGCAAGTATCAGAACCGTGCCAGTCTGCTCAAGACCTAATGGACGCCTCACACTGAGACTTGGGACTCGGAGGGGTTAAGTTTCATGGCGGATATTCTCAGATCTGTGTACCCAGTGAGTATCATGGTTACGGTTAGTCCTGCAGGTTGCGCTAGTTTGCCTCCAAGATCCCCAATTAATGCGTAGTTTAAGATGTTGAAAGGCCCACCATGGAGCACCGGAGCCCGGAGCCTCACTGGTCCGGGCCACGAAGCTTCCACCGTTCGCTTTTGGAATTGCTATAGAAAGAGTATCTGCAGTTTGTAGTTCTGAGAAATTTAAAGCATCTTAATACGAGCACGGGGTACATGTGTTGGGTTAAAAAAGAGGACGTCTGCTTCGGGTGCACCACCGGCGCCGTCACTCCAACTGAAAAGCCAGTTGAGCAGCGTTTTTTTCTGCATGA